ATCAGCAGTTTGAGCATTGAGATGTGCCATAAGAAGAGACATTCAGAAGAAATGATATGAAAAAAAGTTCTGCTCCTGGAGCCTGGTTTCTCCTTAAGCACTTCTAGATTTGTATTAGTAAACTTCTAACCTCAATTTCTTCACTTTCTGTTTAAAGTTGTATAGTATTTTTCAAGCATTCAGAAGTCAAGGAAAGCTCTGAAAACTCTTTATTCCTTTCTCAACAGCAGGTGTTTTTTGATATAAAAATTGTTATTACTTTAATAAAGAAGAAAACTTCTTTTAGGGATTGTATCTAAGATTACATATGGCCTTACTTATAGTGAGGAAGAGATATTTTGGCTTACTTTAAATCAAAAGTTTCAGCAGAATGTGGCAATTTATCATGCTTAGCTCTTAAAATTGGGAATGCTGGTTTGTTTTGTAAATCTGCTCTTTAGTTTCCAAATTATCTGAGGGCATGACGCTTATCTTCAAATCTGAAGTTATTAAAATCCAGTTATTTCTCAGTCTTCAAACTCATGAGCAGCTTTCCTGCATTTAACTTTGCTTTGTTCTTGATGAGCTTTACAGGTCATGCTTGATCTGTCAGCCCTGTGATTGAAACTAAACTCCGGTTTGTTTATTCTCCGGAGTGCCCAAGTAGGTGCCAATAACAGTATTTCAACCTGTTAAGTGCAGGTGGCAAGGTGACCAAAGCCACAGCATCTGTTACCTGCAGACTTCTGGTTCTCCCAGTGTTACTGTAGCATGAACTTGGACGTCACTGAAGGAGAGTTCATGTCATCTGCCCAACCCTTCCTGTGACACTGGAAGTGCTTGAGCATGGCGATGCTGAGACCCTGACAGTCAGTGTCATCTGTGTCTACGGGGAGTCGCCTGTCTTATCACATGCCTGTGTCTGTAACCTTGGCCTTGAGATTTTTTGGGGTGTGTTTTGAGGTGCTTTTTGGTTGGTTTGTGGTTTGTTTGTTTTTGTTTGTGGTAGGTTGTTTTGTTTGCTTGTGTTTTTTTTTTTTTTAATTTTGGAAACCAGAAACTTAAAGAAAGCACTTGGGGTTTGTGAGCCAAGCCTTGCTTGGTGGATTCCAGATCCAGGGTCTCTTGAATAGTGAAGTGTGATAGTAACAGGGGATGATGGCGTGAACCATACCGCCAGAATCCACACCTTTTTGTGGCACACCTTAGACCTCTTGAGAGGTGATCATGAGCCTTGAAAAATGGATCTGGATGCATCTTGTTTGCTCTGCTGCTCTTTTTTGCACAGGTTCTTTTTCTGAGTCTGAAGAAAAGCATAAGTCCAGTAGAATACAGCGATGGTTTTTCTTGTAATCCACTAAAAAACTGATTTGCTGTTGCTTTGTTTGAGATTGGCATGTAGCTCGTTCCTGCTTCTCACATCCTCTTGTCAGACAGGTTCAGCTGAAGCTAGAGTAAATTGTTTAAGCTGGGGGCATAAATCAGGCGAGTTATATTCAGGTTAAAAACACCGGTCAGTTAGTGGTTTGGGTTTTTTTTGTTTTGGTTTGGTTTTTTGTTTGTGGTGGTGGGTTTTTTGTGTTTTGTTTGTTTGTTTGTTGTTTTTTGTGTGTTTTTTTTGTTTGTTTGTTGTTGTTGTTGTTGTTGGTTGGTTTTGGTTTGGCTTTTTGGAACAAAACCAAGACAGAAGCCTTCTGTAGATGGGATGCAGGTGACTTTAATGAGGAATTAGAACCATGTCACCATGGCTTCTGTGAATCTTTCCCAAGAGGTGTAGTGATCACAACTCTGACTATTATACCTTCTGGTGATGGGTAAGGGGATTAAATGGTCAGCTGGTCCAGCTCAGGGCTTACAAATCTCTGTTGAAAACAGCCTCTTGCCTTTTCAGGTTTTGTAGTGGGGGGAATAAATCTGTGAAGATGCTTTATTCTGTCCTTTCATGCCTGAGGGCAGCCTGAGGCCTAGGGTGTGGGTCATGTGGACAGAAGGTCTGAGAGACATCCAGAGAAGACACATCCCCCTAGGAAGTTGCAACCACACAGTTTTCAAGATTCAGTTAAGAAGCTTTCACTGTAATTAATCTTGCCTAGGTTTAAAAAAAATAAAAAGTTGTTTTCCCTCTTCATCTGGAGAGGGAAGAGCACAACCTGACGCATCTCTTGACTCTTTGTTGATAGCCAGTTCTAACCCAGGACAGTGATCTCTCCCTTGAGGTACAGATGGTAATTTGCAGGAGATGTACCCTACTAGGGAAATAACCCAAGGAAAGAACTGTTTGTGTCTCACCAAGGGGAAGCACAATCATGAAATGTCAGAGCAGCCTCTGCCTTACTGCCCTGGAAGCTTTGGTCTTGTGTGGGAGGCAGGGTAGAGATGTGCTTGGTGACCCAGAACTGAGCAGTGTGTAGGGAGTGCTGCATTTCCATGATACATGGCCTTTCCTGGCTGAGTGACCAAACAAGCTCAGCTTTTACCCTTGTGACGTCCAGTGGCCAGGAGTGCTCTGACTCTGCTCCGCATTAGTGGTTTGTTGGCATGCCAGGCTTTGAAGGCAGTGTCTGTTGAATGCAGTAGATGTGCCTGGACTTTCAAGCTAGAAATAAGTTCTGAAGAATCCTGTCTGTCTGTACCCTCTGTCTTTCCTTTTTAACTTGCCAGGGCAGGGGTAAGGTAGCCCTTGCTTAGCTGACAAAGTTGGAATCGTGCAGGGCATCACTCTTTCTCAACCCCTCCTGGCTGCTAGCCAGGACAGAGCCTGTTTGCTGGAGCAGAGCATGCCCTGTATCCCTGACATGTCACCTCACTCACTACAGGGACTTAGGATAGACCCTGAGCCACTGACAGTATCAGGATTATTATGGTGCTGCTCTGCCTTTGATCAGTGCAGCACAGAGAATGTGCTGGGAATGCAGGGACTCTCCTGGCAGATTTTGACAGTCTCTTTGTTTCTTTTGCTTTGACAGTTCACACACAGCTTGAGACCTTTCTGGTTATAGTTGGCTGGAGTGCCCTGGTCCATGCTACCTTTAATCCTCTTGGACCTTGAACTTCTGTCTTCACAACTCCAAAGAAAAGGATGGAAAATAGCTTGTTTTATCTGGAGACAAATAATCAAATAGGCTGCAAGGGGAATGTAGTTTGGCATGTGTATGTGTAAATTTCAGGAAAAAAATTGAATTCACACAGAAAGAATTTGGATAAAGGCTGAGAAAGCAATAGATTCATCTCTGTTCATTTTCCCAGAAAAGGATCCTATCATGCTGAGCTTAAGTTGGGGCTGCAGCCTGCTTGTGAACTCAGCACCTGAAGAACTGAACTGAGTGATCTGTATCCCTTATTTCCTTCAATATACTTTAGCATGAGCATGTAGGAGTCTTGACTGATAGCCCCCATGTAACCTCTGTTGCATCTCTACCACCCTTTTATCCTTGCTTGCTGGGGTAACTTTCAATGTTAATTTTTAGTAGAGAGGTCTTCTAGTGTCAAAATGGGTGCAAAACTCACAGATTATAAATCTACATACTGCCCTTGTGTACAAAGTACAACTGCTGCTGGGGCAGAGGAGAGGGCTGTAAGAAACTTATGGTATAACAGAGAGCAGGACATTGTGCGTGGTAGAAATTGGGGGGAGAGGAGAGATTTTGAAAACCAGAGAAATAATTATTGCATTGGAATTGAAATTAATTTGCTAGCATGCTTTATAATCTCTGCTGACCAAAACAAGCCAGGCCTTTGTAGCCTAGAATAGTTTGACCAAAAATTACAGCTCTAGCTTTGTGATACATTCGAGTTTCTTTCCAGAACCTGAATTTGGAAATGATGTGATAAGTGTGTGCAATGTGGTTGAGTTATCAGCATAGATAGCACAGAAACCTCCTGAGAGGGCAAGGGACAAGTGGGTTGTCTTGGATGATTTCTTTAAATATTCTCCATCAAAAGCATTGTTTGCCACTGATCTCCAGTGGATTTGAAGTTTAAGGTTCCTGTACTAAAACAGTAGCATGTAAGAGTGGAGGAGAGCAAATCTGCAGCTTTACTTTCCTTCCAAACCACATCTGTGCTTGTTGTCGCTGCTGCTGACCCAGAGGTAGCTGAGCCAGGTAAAGATAGCAGGTAATGGAGTCTAGGGAGGGTAAAAGGGTTCCTTCTTAATCTGACTCCTAAGTTTCTTCTTGGGTCCCCTGGCCCTTTCCCCCAAAGTCATCCTGGAGGTCACCATTGGGATCAGCTTTCCTTCTCATCTGCCTCACCTTGTTTAGTAGAGAAATCACAGAGGTTATTTTGATGCATTCTTCAGGTTCCGCCCTGTGAAACAGAGTACTGGCAATGTTGGAATATCTGAGGAGTTGTGATTTTGTTACTTTTGCACTAGAGATGTAGCTGTTGTCAAAATTTGGAGGTGTTCTGGTTTTTGACTTATGTACTTCGGAAGTCATGTTGTCATGGTGTCTGAGTATTTCATAACAGCCTAAAGGTTTTCATCGATATCATCACCCCTCTGCAATTGAAGGAGCTACTGTGCCCTTGGGCTTTGAGACATCCTCTACAGAAGAAACTATCTGTGGCAGAACCTGAAGGAGAACCCACAGAAAAGTATTACCAGATGCACTACTTCTGTTGTCTGTGTTTCAGTTCCACAGCAGAACCATCTGTATTGTTAAAATACTCTTTTGCTTTAACTTGGAATTCCTGTTGACAGCCTCACCAAAAAGATAAGTTCTGGATTAGCCTGAAGACCTGAACTCTCCTGCTCTTAAAGGAGTCACCAGCTCCTTTTGTGCAGGACAAGAGAAAGCAGACTGGGGCAGCAGCCTCTGTGTCAGGTGACAGGTCTGATGGTTTGGGTGCTTTACCTTAGCACAGGATTTAATGGCTAAAAATGACTGTTTTACAATAAATGATTGCTTATCCCTTCTTCAGAGCTCTGTTTCCACAAACTAGGAGAGAATACTTCAAAAGCCATACTAGAAAGGTGTTGGACACAGAAGAAAAGCCTAATTGTGGTTACTCTTTTCTAGGTCCTGTGTTTAATGTCTCAGTGCACTCTGACAGCCCGACGATCTACCAGGGGGAAGTGGCAGATTTGCTGTGTATCGTCACGATGGAAGGAATGGCACTTGAGCCAGGTATTTCCACAAAATTATTTTACTTGTAACTCATTTGCCTCCACCAGGCAGAGTAGTATCAGCAGTTACAACCCTGTGTCCTTTGAGTGAAGCTGTAGAACTAGATAAATACAGGAGAGCGTGTTTGCTCTACGCAGCTCAGTTTAAAACAAGAGGTTTTATGTTTCAATTTCTGAGGGGAGAGGGGGGGGAAAGCGTTCTTACTGTTAAATCCTCCTCTGCTGTCCGTACCAGCTGAGCCCACTGCAGGTGATCCCTGCCTACCATCAGTAGATGGGCCATGAAAGCTATTCCTGTTCCCTTTAATTGGAAAGGAGATCCATTGGCAAAACCATTTAGGAGAAAATGGTCACCTGTAAGCAAATCTTAGTCACCTGGCTTCGCACTTCAGAGTGAATTTAAGGCTTAAAGTAAATCTAAAAATCATAATAATTGACTACTGCAGCCTAAATGCCAAAAATGTTCATTGTCTTCAGAGCTGAGCCTCCTTTTTTCTGTGGAAGAAACAAATACAGTACCTAGTTCCCATGAAGAGGATAGCAGGCACTTTAGAAAGAGATTTATATGAAAAGCTGAGAAATTCAGAGAATTGCTCAAAACGTAGCTGCTTGCCAAGCATTGTCTGAGCTGCTTTTCATCAAAATGCTGTGAGAGCAACTCTAGTCCTTATACCCAAAATTTGGGTTTGGAGTGAGTTTAGGGTTTAAGTGCTTATATATATGAATATAAACATCTCTGTAAAATCTACAAATATGTATGTAAATATAAATGTATAAGTGTATATACCTAAATGTAAAGATGTCATGATTCATGCAAAACTTAAAAGTCTACATGTAAGCTAGTACAAAAGGGGTGCTGTGCAGAAAAAAATTACTTCCAGTGTAGTAGCTGATGAGATGAAGCACCAGGCTTAGTAAAGGCCCATCACTTTGAAATTCCAGGTTGTCTCTTCTACATTAAATCTGAGTGTTGCAGGGAAGCAATTTGCTAGATTACAGTTGTGTGCTGCCTGTGAAAAAATGATAGAAGTCTGTAGATTGTATTATTGAAATGCCTGGTAGGGAAGAAAAGCTGAGTAAACTTTATTGTTGTCAAGAGCGTCATATCCTGGGATACTGGGCACAGAAAGCAGTGTTGTGTGCCTGTACACACACTTCAGTCTGTCCTGTGGTTTCTGCTCAGCAGGAAGCCTCTTCCAAGTTGAGGTATGCCCAAGCTCTTACAGGTATTGTTGCGAGACAGTACCCAAAGCAGCTGCTTTCCTTTCCAGAGCAATAATTACTGGCAGGGAGCAGGTGCTGCTTCTACTGGTGTTTGACAACTTAAATAATGTTGGGGGTTGCCATGTGAGAGAGGCCTCAGCATCCCTGACTCATGTAAAACTTGAACACCCGGACACAGGGAGTCCCACCTGAACATGAGAAAGAATTTCTTTTCGTGTGGGTGACTGAGCACTGGAACAGGTTGCCCAGAGATTCTGTGGAGTCTCCTTCTCTGAAGAGATTCACAAGCCATCTGGGCACAATCCTGTGCAATATGTTCTAGGGGACCCTGCTTGAGCAGGGAGGTTGGATCAGATCACCTCCAGTGGTCCCTTCCAGCCTTACCAATTCAGTGAAAAGGGGCTGCTTAGTAGCAGTAGGTCTCTCCTGTCAGTGCTTTGTTGCACTTGGGTTTGTGATGGTTTTGGTGTGTATTTGGTAGCTTGAGACTGGGAGGAGCCCTGACAATATAAGAATATTAAAGGGATTGAAGTAAAAAAGCGTTGTCCTCAAGGAGTTGCTCATCAGCATAGTTCAGTTTTAATTTGTAAGTTTCATAAGGGTTCATGGATGTTTGTTGAATTGACAGATGATGCCTGGAGTTGAAAATGATGCTGTTTTCAGTGGTCATGAGCAGCCAGAGCAGAGTTTTAAATGTCAGCACTGTAATCTGTTCCATAGCTGCGTAATGTCACCTTGGACACGACAGATCTCTGCCTCTGTGTTTGTTTTTCTTTTTTTTCTTTTGTGGGTTTTTTTTTTTTTTAGGTTTGGTTTTGCTTTTTCTTTTACAGTCTGTAATGAGGCAGATGAGGCACAGGCAACAAATACGCCTAGAATGGAGTAAAGTGTGACATTGTGGCAGGTTTTGAGGGAACTCTTCAGTCCATGCTCTGAGCTTCTAGCTGCTGGATGAGTAGGATTTGGAGCCTAACCACTCCTTTTATGTGGAGAAATGCAGGTCTGGGCCCTTCATATGGGCCTGAGAAGCTGGTCCATTTTCAGTCCTTGCTGGTCCTCTGGATGAGACTGGCAGAAGAGCAGCAGGGAACAGCTGGAATTTAGGTGACAGCTGCAGCATGTCCAGACTTCCCTTGTCAGTCTGCCTTTTTGACCTTGGGAGATGGAGGGGACTACAGAAGTGGGCTAATGGAACAGGTTAGGTGAAGGGCCTTAAGGGCAATGGTAGTAAACAGATGTAGTTCCTCACTAGTGAACTTATTCCTCCGTATCCCATCTCTGATCTGTCTCTATGCTGAGTCAGTATCACAATTTAATTCACAACTGGAATGGAGAACTTGTTTTTTGAATTAGGGCCAAACATTAGACAGACCGTGGAAGTAACAGGGCTGTCTCATCCCACTGGTGAAATGAGGCATGTGTCAGGGAAAACCTACACTTCATAATCAGATAAACATGGCAAGAGTTGCCAGCATCTTCTGGAAAAAAAACAGATGATGGCAGTACAGACATGGTCTTTCCATTTGAGAACGTGATGAGAAAGAAGCAAATGCATTTGATGCTGTTCTGAGGGGGCATGATGGCCTTTCAAAGGCTCTGCTCATCTGGTGTCAGACCTGCTACAAGGCTGTATTTTGGACTCTCTTGTGAGTAGAGAAAGACCAGGGAGTTTCATAGAATGTCTTGCTAAATGCCCCTCCAAAACACATTGAACACATTTGGTATGTTCTGCTCTTGTACGCACAGTTACTCAGCTATGCAAGCATTAGTTGAGGATTAGTTATGTATGCTTCCTGTAATAAGTTGAGGTGTCAGGTGCCATCTCTTCTCTCTTTGTATGCACAATCAGAAAACTAAAGTACATCCAAGGAGTGGAGGAAAAGTTAAATGACCAATTATCTTTGTCAGTGCCATTTGTTACAGTTAGATCCATCCATTTTTTTTTTCTAGAGGCATCACTTGTGGATTGAACCCTTGTCTGGTAGAGGCAACTCACAATACTGTCAGTGTCTGTGTGTACCCATCCTGTGGGAAATTTTCAAAAGGGTAGAAAAGGTTTTGGCGTGACTGCTACATGCTTTAATTTCCTCTGCTTCTTTGAGACCGTGCTGAAATGGAGTGTGTATTACTAAGCTCAGTACATGGCAGCAACTGCTCCTTCTAAAGAAGTGCTCCTTTGGCTTGGCAGCTGGGCTTGGTGTTTTCAATTGGTATGAGGGGAGTATGTGTATGTCAGGGGGAATAGTAGTTCTTCTGTGCCCTGAAGATATAAAAGCTGCTTCAGATATTTCTGTTGAATACACATTTTCACAAATGATCTCTAGACTTCCCAGATCACCCACTCTTGGGCTGTGTGCTTAGGGATTTAAAAGTATTACTTACTGTGACTGAAAGGAGATGGTTTTTTTAATCTGCTCCAGACAGACTCAGTGGGCACTCTGGAGAATTTAACAAAACCAGCTTGTTTACCTCTTATATGGCTTGAAGTGGTTTGCTCAGCTCTCTAGGAAGCCCTATTCAACCTCATTTAAATGTAGTAAACAAAAAGGGTCTCAGAATTGTGATTCATTACTGTAACAGGATGCTGAGAGAGCTCCATTCTAAGCAGTGGAAGTGTATGGTTCCTAAGAGCTGGTCTAGAAATAGGATTCCCTTTTTTGAGGAGTGATTGGCCAGGGAAGCAGCTAAGACCCAGACAGCTCAGTCCTGTGTGTCAAATCGAAATGTGCATAAAGATGTGCTTTACATGCTGATGATCCTCGCTAACTGAGGAGGGGAGGAAGCGCAGCACCACTGTTACTCTACTCACAGAGCTCTGGAGCATCCAGCTCCCAGGGCCTTGTGTTCCTTTGTGAAAGCATCTCTGCTGCATGCCCTGGTTGCTCTGAGGTCCTTGATGGCCTTCTGGGCTTGGTACTGGGATGTTTGGCTTTACTGTGGGGCGTCTTGTCAAGGTGTCCCACACTACTTATTGTGTGGTACAGAAAGAACCAGTTGAAAGAAACCTTTAAGTGTGAGTGCAGTGCTTGAAGTTGAGTTTTTGTAGATTTGGGACAAAAATCATGAGTGTGACTTGACAACATTGATGCGAGGTGTGTGTGGAATGATGCAGATGCTTTTGGGAAGCCTAGTGTGACCTGTTTTATGTCAGTAAACCTACATACTTATTCGCACTTGGGAGCTGCTAGGCATGTTCACCTCTGATATTTAGAGAGACCTGATTTATATCCTGGCTTTGCTAAACTTTCCTATGTTTTTATTGTATGAAACCCAGAGATATATAGAAATGAATCATATGACTTTGCTGTATGAAGCTATTTCAAGGAGGATAGTGACAGAGTACTTGGAGCCAAATCCTCCCTCTGACTGTCTGTAGTGAGTCACTAATTGCGCACTGTGTATACTGACTGATAAAATATGTTGGCATAATACTGCTATCCCATGTTGTAATTACAGGAAATAGATCCAGCTATTCCAAAATGACAGCACTCATCCATATATGTGGAGGGAAGGGAACCTCAAATTGTCTGGGACACAAAAGAAGGAATTCTTCGAAGTTGCCTGGGAATCCGGAGGCTAAATTATTATTATCTTTTAATATCTAAATTTATTGCTTAAACCTCTTTTAGCAAGTTTAATGGTGTGTTCAGTGTAATTTGATTTGGCCTGAAAGGTGTCCATATGCTCCTACAGTACCTGGAAACCCAAGAGCTAATGGCAGTGTTGATCTTTGGAAGGAATTGGTCATTCCCAATGTGATTGCCTGTGGACCAGTGCTATTACCGTATTTGGCATAAACAGACAGCAGAGATGAAGAGTGGTTTCTATAAACAGAGCTCTCTCCAGCAGGGGCCCTGTTTCCCACAGACAGTTGGATGAGTGCACAAAGCAGAGGTCAAAGTTTGATCTTGTTGACTGAGCATGTTTATGGTAATTTTTATTAACTTTGGTTTCAAGGGAAGTGCTCAGAGAGCTTTGCCAAGTAACTAGCAGTAGTACTTGTAGTATGATAGGCAAGAACAATTGCTATGAGGGCCTGCTGGTCCATGTGACCTATACTGGACCCCATGAAGGATTGGGATACCTACTCCTGCTCTAGGGCTGCAAAACAGGCCCCGTGCCATCACCCAGAGCACCCGGCCATGGCAGGCAGGGCAGGAAACTGGCTGGGCTCCCAAAACAGTGTGACCAGGCAGTGTCTCTGGTAGTAACATCTGCTTTCTCATATTTTTGTTTGGTTTCTGAAGGTGTGTGCAAAACCAGTGTACCTTAGGAAGGAGTCAATTACATCCCAAACACTGGGTGGTTTTTCTTTTCTGCAGTAAGGAGGAATGTTCTACGTGGCCAACTGATGCTATACTTCAAATAACAGAGCTGAGGACATCCCTTTACTTCATTTTACTTTAAAATATTAAGGTTCCCTTTGTTGCTGAAGTGTTAGCTTGCCTGATAGAGATGTAAAAATTGTCTTCACTTAGATCTGTAAAAAATTTGAGTATGACAGTAGGCTTAGGCTTCAGTTTTTCTGTTATCATGGAGGTTAAATGTGAATTAGAAGATCAGTTTTAAATTCACGTTGCTAATACTGTGTTTTTCAGAGATCTCAATACTAGAAAATGGAGGTTTGATGTATTGCCAGAAATCACTGGGACTGCCTTAGGTGTGTGCAGAGGTTAAGTAAGCCCTGTGCACACACTGTACCAGTACTCAAAACTCAGAACAGAAATAGTAACCTCTGTTTCCAGTTTGGGCCCATCAGTTTGCTAATGTGCCAGGAAGGAAGACCTGTTGAGGAAACAAGTGAGCAGACTTTCCTGTCTATGCTGTAGGTCATGCCAGGTTTCAGATTCCAACAGGTGTTGCTGGGCTCATGTTAGCAAAGAATAGGAGTGGTTTTTAAAGTAGATACTTAGCTACATGAACCTAATAGGGTTAAAACTGATCTGCTAATAAGATCAATAGGACCTTGCACGAACACAATGAGCTAGATGTGCTGATGGACACTGACGACTTGTCAGATATTTTAAAACTGGAAGGTGATGTAAATATGTTTTATGGATTGTGTCCTTGGGTGATAAAACTTGTACAAGGCACGATGTCTGATGGGTCACAGTAACCCACAACTCTGGGTGAAAATGTATAAAAGCATCATGGCCAGGGTCTGCTCCTGAGTGCTTTGTAATCTTGTAGATAATTTTTTGTGCTCTGTGCAGAATCTTGTTTATTCATTTAACCAAACTGTAGATATAAGGAAGGAGTTTTCAGGAAAGAATCTTCTGATTTTGTGGTTGTGTAGGCCCTACACGAAGACAGGGACTGCAAATCACTCTCTGCTAGCAAATACCTAGTACTTCTACTCCCTTTTCACTGTAGGTTCAGCATAATTATACAACTTCTTATGATACTAAGCCTGCTTGGTAAAAACTTAGATCAGAGTTAAATAGAAATTTTAGAATAGCAGGCAGAAAAGCAAGAAATCTCCTCTTTGTCATTCCTGTGGTAAGTCACTCTTTCTGTGCAACTCCATTCTTCCTGTTAGTGCATTTATTTGCAGTTCAATGCTTGAATCCTCCTAGAAAGGGCATGTTATGGGGACTTTCTTTTTTTTTTGTTCTTTTCTTTTTTCCCTTTGCTGTCAGACCAGTGCTGGCTGTGCTGCTTACAGATTAACTTTTCTGCTGAGCAGTGGCACTATAAATACTTCAGAGCTCACCAACATGTCTAAATTCTTCTTTGTCCATGAATGCAGATGATGTGTCCTTTGATGTCTCCTGGTTTGCCGTGCGCTCCTTCGCCTTGGACAGAGAGCCCATCTTGCTGGCCTCGCTGGACCGGAGAGGGATCGTGACGCAGAGCAGGAGGAATGGGAGCAGTGATATCAGCCTGGAGAGAATCAGCCTGCTGGAATTCCGGCTCCGTGTGCATGGCTGTGAGGACCATGACTTTGGGAACCACTATTGCGTGGTGACCCCCTGGGTGCGATCTGCCACGAGTGTATGGCAGCGGGAACCCGACATCAAAGCCAAACCCATCTTTCTGTCTGTGAAAATGGATGGTAAGAGATCGCAATGTGCTACTCAATTTGTTTTTAACACCTTATTATGTCTCTCTGTGGCAGATATTCCTCATAACTGCTTTTAAAGGCGCCTCTGGTAATCTCATTAGATTTTGTTGTCCTTTTTCTATTGTTTGCAATTTCTGATTCAAGGTTTTTCACAGTAGAAGAATCTGTTCTGCCTGAACAGATGATAGTCGTAAGACTGGAGTGTTTTCTTCCCTGATCATCTCTTGGTGATGTTTTGCATAGCTGGGGTATCTTTCAGTCAAGGACATAGTATTATCTCCAAGTGTTGACCCTTCTGTGCCTGCTGGAGAAAGCTTGGATTTGCAGATGGGGCATGATGAATGAGTCACATTGTGGTTGGTGTCAAAGCTGAGAAATGAAAGTCAGAGCTCTGACTCCTTCTTCCCTCTCCTAACAAGACATGTTGCTCCCTGCACTTTGCCCTGTCTGCTTTCCAACCTGAGTTGCAAGTGTTGCTAGACTTCATGAGAAGGAAGTTGCTTGCTGGATGTTGCATTCAACCCATAGCTAAGGAGGGATATGAATGCAGGAGGGGTTTTGAACCAGATACTTTCTTCTCAGTGTTTCCAGGAGAGGTCATCTTTGGAAGTTCCATGAACTTAAAATGAGCAAGAAGCTTTTGTTGTCCCTGCTGTGCAGATAACTTTTGTAACTGTACATTTCAAACTCCTTACAGTTCTTACTGTCTTTTAACTGAGCAGTAGGTATTTATAAATCAAATTTTTTTGTTTAGGCACCAACTTTGAAGGTTGATTACACAGAGTAAATAGTAATTCTAATCATTCAAAGCATAAAGGAGTCCACTCCTTGCTTTATGGAAACATATTACAAAGAATGCAGCCACACTCTACCTCTGATGGGGAAACAAGCCAATGCTTTTGTTTGGAGAAGTGGGTAATAGGATACCTCCTGGAACGAGCTCTACTTTGCTATCTCACTCCAAGGCTCCTTTGGTGCTTCCAGCCTCTCTGAGGCTTTGAAACGGTAGAGGAAGAATTAGGGTGAAGAGGAAAGGGAGTCCAGTAAGAGACCAATTTTTCAAACCTGAGAAGATTGAAATCAAGAAGGAAAATTAGTGCCATTTTGTTCTGAAATAATTAATCTGCCCCTGACTGAGTAATGTGTGATTTTCTCCTTTTTCATGCAAGAATAAATGAGGGGGATCTCTGAATTTCTCAGTGATATCTAATGACTTTGCCTTCCTTTTTCAGTTCTGAATGCTTTCAAGTATCCCCTGTTGATTGGCATCGGTCTGGCCACTGTCATTGGACTCTTATCCTGCCTTATTGGCTACTGCAGCTCCCGTTGGTGCTGCAAGAAGGAAGTGCAGGAAACACGGCGAGAGCGTCGTCGGCTAATGTCGATGGAGATGGACTGAGTGCGGGAGCAGGACACACTTGCATTTCGGGAGAGACTCACAGGGCTCTTGGATTGTGTTGAGACACTTGCTCACAGGCCCAGACAAGACAGTGCATTTGCTCTGATTTCAGCCTGGACCTCAAGCTTCTCCTTGTTACACATCATGTCCTGAGAACAATCAGGCCATATTTAGCAACTTGGGAGTTCTCTTTTTCCAGCAGCACTTTCTGCATAGGGATCATGTCCTTCTAATGTGCAAACTGTTGAGCCTTCTTTCAGCAGGGCCCTGTGACAAAATTCATTAAGGTTTTGTTTGTCTGTTGATTGGTTTTATTTCCCCCCCTCTTGGTTTTGGAAAGATGTTCCTGTATGAAAGCATGGTGGGCAGGATGATGAATTGGAAAGAGGCTGGTGTTAGACTTTCATTGTATTAACTGATCTACTTTTCCCCTCTATCCCCATCACACCATCCTGTCCCCTTTCTCTGTCCACCTTAGTATCTCACAGGCTTCTCTGTGTTGGGTTGAAGGCTGGAGAAGGTTCTTATGCTGGAACCATCGTGAGGCTGTTTCGGCAAAGAATTGGTTTATGGGTGCCAGCTGCCTTCTCTTCCCTGGCTTTCCAAGAGGTTTCAGTTAATCCTGAAACATAGCTTACCTGGTGGAGGTCTGAGGCACTTTTAAAAATCTCTTATTTTCAGTGCTCAAAGTTCTTAGCTGTGGTTAATAGGGGCTAACTTGGCAACCCTGAAGAAGTCAATCCTCAGACAAGCATTTGATGGATGTCTGCCTATGACCACCTTCTCCCCCACCCTTCCACCTTCTCTTCTGCCCACTACAGCTGCTCACGTTGTGCCTGAGACCCTGTTCTGCTTGTGGCAGGGGGGCACATGGTATCCAGAGACAAGGCTCAGCCTTCTGCTGGCCTCAGCAGAGAGGTGGGAGACATTGGCCTTCTGGTGATGGTATGACTTGGGAATAAAATAAGAGGTGGATCTTTGTCTGCAGTTGGCCAACTGATCATGTTTAGAGAAGACTTGTAAACTATGTTTTACCAAATGCACAGACCAGACCCCAGTGCTGCTTCTACCAGTCCCTCGGTGGTCACCCTGGAACCTTGTGAGCAGAGTCAGATCTGCAGTAGCTGCAGTGCAACTCAGGCTAGGAATAGGAGCAAATCCCCAAGGGCAGCAAGAATCCTTCAGGTTTCAGCAGTCCTGGCCTTGAGCACAGGCCTGCAGCAGGGCTTTCCACATGGGCTTGAGACCTATTCCTCGGTGCTACAGTACACAAGCCCTGCTTTGGTCTTCCACTTACACTGACCTGGCTCCTGAGTGGGAGCAATATCTTTTCCAGGCAGTTCTGTCTTCCCAGCACAGCTGGTGTTTTAAGCAATAAAGGTCAGAATAAAGATACTGTGCATAAACAAATGAGGAAGTAGGACTGCTCCACAACCTGATGTCACAGGCAGGGTTTGGCTTGCATCAAGAAAGGTGAGAGATGCAGAGTTGAGGCCAGGGCTCAGTGCTTTCCAGTTTTTTTTGAGATAAGAGATGCCAAAGAAGAGCATCCTTGGAAGGTAGTGGCTGTGGTGTGCTGTTACCAGTCTGGACGTTAGTGATGTACTACTAGACAATCTGCTTCACTAATAACTCATCCCACTGCCTATTCCAGGGGAGATGCACGTCTAGTATCTGGGCTGTGAAGGGTTTTTTTGTGGTAAGTTTTCTTTGTGTGTTTTTTTCCCTTGTCTAGCACTGTGACCTCTGTTCTGAGGCTGACATGAGGGTGTTTTCCAGAAGGCTGTTTCGCTTCCAGCATGTGAACACACATGCAGCCCCATATGTATGCATAGAGTATTCAGAGGTGTGTCCAGTGATTTTTGGAAGCTGATTATGAAACATTTTCAAAATGGACTTGATTTGCAGAGCTGGGGCTTGCAACTTGTTATTTGACTCTTTAAGACTTTTTGTGTAGCATTCCAAAACTGGGATATGCAAAACCACTGAACCTCTGAAAGACTTTGGCCTGAATATTCATAGCAACTTTTCTTTCTGGCCTGATGTTTTTCTTTCTGGAAGAACTTTGAAAAGGGCAATGTTGCAGGCAGACATAGCTGCCTTTCCTGAAGAACAGGACAGAAGTACTCTCAAGCTTCCACTGTGAAAGCCCAGAAATCTATAGCAGTGCTGTACAAAGGGAGTTCAGGAAAGGATTCACTCAAATATTTTGACACCAAGAATTTTCCTTCCTTCCCTGTTAGTCTGCTGTAGTGAAATCTTGTTTTCTTCCTTGGATCTTATGAAACACCATTCTGATGTTTGGGATGCTGGCTGATCTAGCAACTTCTTTCCTGCATTAACATCTACTTTCTTCACAGAAGGCCTGTGGCACTGGGGCCTCTGGGGAGGGGTGGTAGTGGTGGTGAAGTTCCAAGCACAGCATCAGTCACTTTTTAACCTGACAGACTGACTCCTTGTCTATATGCTCTTAGTTAAGTCTTAGGGAGAGAGGTTCATGACTGTAATGCAATAATTAGGGAACAGATGAGCAGGGAACCACCAACTCTTCCCAAACACACAACATAGCACATTTCTTCCCTGCTGGAAAAAACTCAGGGTTATTTTGGTCAGGGCTCCCTGCTTCTCTAGTGAAAGGTCCCCATGTCCTTATGCTGATCTTCCTTCATGGCCTGTAACAAGCCGTCTTTGTCACTCCAAGTGAAGGAAGTTTGCCACTAACTTCTATTGCTGACAGCCCCTTGGAAGGCAATGCTGCATCCCATTCCACCCTGTATTTGCTGTAGTTGGAAGGCTAGAAGCTGAGCGGCTAGACCTAGGCCCCAGGTTTCCTTCTACTTGTGCCAATTTTGTATTATCCCCTTTTTTAAAAACAGAGCATGAATCTTCTCTCTAATGAAAAAAATCTAGGCCACTTTTCATGGTTTTAATTATTATTATTATTATTATTTCCTGTGTGACCAGGGTTTGTGTGAGTGGAGGTGTGTGTGCATCTGGTTGTGTATTAAACCTGCAGAGTGTCAGAAGAATAAGCTGCCTGAGGTGCAGTACAAGCATCCATATCCTCCCTGCTGCAACCTGTGGTATTGTCAAAGTATCCTAAGGGCTCACATTGATCTTCCTCTTTTCACATTGCCACATCTCCTGGTTAAGCTGGTAAATTCCTCCAGGCACTTGGAATTTCAATCCAGGATAACCTTGAACATCATAAAACAGAAGGACAAGATATTTTCTTTCTTTTGTTTTAATTTCAAAGTTATGAAATAAAGTTTTGGGCGCAATTCTGGAATGCAGGTACTGAATAGTTCTAACAGTGCTGTGTAAAATGTTTCTTTTTATGTTTAAAATAAAGAGCGAGCCTTTTTGATTATGTCTGTGCTGTGGGTCTGGATGTTTGAGCTATGGGCAGTTCTTTCCCTGTACCTTGCATGTGTGCAGACACTATTGTTGAAGGTATAAAATGTAAACCTTACAGTCCTGATTCCAGCACTGTTTACCCTGTAAAATAAGCATGAGCCCTATTTTACAGTAAGTTTTAAATATTTGCCTACACTTCTGCGATGAATTGGGAAGCAGAATTGTTTTCTGAGTCTATTGTGTTTCTTCCCCATTGTAAGTCAGCCTTTTTGTTGGGAGAGTTTTCTTTTGATTAGCTGGGGCCAGTAGTCACAGTTGGGAGTGTTATGTTTAATATCTGCTCTAAAACCTGGGCATTAGATGTTGAGTCTTCGTTGTAACCCTTCATGAGGCTTCTTGTTTCCAAGGTATCAGGAGCAAAATCAATAGTGTTGGAAGTAAATTCCCTGCTTGCTTTGCCAGTGGCACACCATGATCATACAGCAAGGAGGTGACTTTCTGTCATGGTTTATAACCCCAGCTGGCAGTCAAGCCCCAGGCAGCCCCTCGCTCGCCCCCCCAACTGTGGGATCAGGGAGAGGATCAGAAAGGTGAAAGTGAAAATGTGTGTGTTGAGATAAAGACAGTTTAGCAGGGAAAGCACAAGCCATGCACTCAAGCAAAGCAAGGAATTCATTCACTGGTTCCCATGGGCAGGCAGGTGTTCAGCCATCCCCAGGAGAGCAGGGTTCTGTCATGCATAATGGTGACTTGGGAAGACAAATGCCATTGCTCTGAATGTTCCCCCCTTCCTCCTTCTTCTCTGAACTTTATACGCTGAGCACGATGCCATCTGGTATAGGATATCCCTGGGGTCAGTTGGAGTTACCTGTCCTGGCTGTGTCTCTTCCCAGTTCCTTGTGGTCCCCCCCCCCCCTACTCACTGGTGGGCTGGGGGAAGAGGCATAAAAGGCAGTGGCTCTGTGTGTAAGCCCTGCCCGGCAGTAAGGAAAACACCCCTGCACTATCAGCACTGTTTTCAGCACAAATCTAAAACACAGCCCCACAGTAGCTACTGTGAAAAAAATTATTCCAGCCAAAACCAGCACACTTCCTTTCAAATGAGAAGTTGCTTGAGGCAGAAGTGGTTTGGGGAGGCCAAGCCAGGCTTTGGCAAGGTGAGTTTGTGTTCAAAGTGGTGCATGCTCTGTCTCAAATGGCAGTGGTGCAGGCTGGTTGACGGCAAAGTGTGTACCTTTGGCTTGTTTCTAGATGGTGGTGTCAGGGAAAGGTGTCCTCTGCAGAGTGAGCTTACATGAAGCTGGGAGGTGGCACCAAAGCTGTAAGTCCTTAAGGAGTGACAGGGACTATCAGCCAAGCTAGAGAAATGTCATAAATGGTCTGTGGTCCCTCAGCAGAGCCTTTGCCAGCTGCAGATGTTTAACACATGCAGAAGTAATGAGTGGTATGCTTGTGAGACAGCAGTTGTTTAGCTGTGCAGGTTACAGCTTATTTGGTAAATTTGAATTAGCTCTATGAAATCCTCTTGCCTCCACCCCTTGGAATGACCTGGGTCTTAATGCTGTTCTTGTAAACGTGCTAGGATTTTATCATCATCAGAAAGAAAACCAAAAAACCTGAAGTCTGGATTTAAAAAGAAGGGGACACTGGCAAGTAACTGCCTGGGTGTTGCAGTGAATGATGGAAGTTATCAAGTCTTTAGCATCACCTTGTACTTGCCATGGGCTCAGCTCAGCTCTCTGCTGGTAGAGGTATCCAGCTGCCTGCTGCCATAAGGGCAGTCTGAAAAGAACTTTTGTGCCAGAGCCTGAGAGTTGAGTTGCTTCTGTAACACCAGGCTCAGGCAATGTGCTTGGCTGTGCTTGTTCTATGACAGAGCCTGGTAGGGCTGCGATGGCTCTGGCTGAGTGCCCTGCTTGGGTCAGGGCCAGCCCAAAAGCCTACACTGAGGCTGAAGCTGACTGGTGTCGTGTTTGATGCATGAGAAGACATGCCTGCTCTTTGTCATGTGAAGGTGAAGCCCAGTCATGCAAATCTTCCAGGGAAATGGGTGACTTTTGCCTTTTCACTGGGACTTTGCACACCTCTATGATTACAGGGGGCTGAGGTCTGCACAGCAGGTGTCAGACAGATGCTGTTTCAGGAAAGAGACTTTTAACAACTGATGGAAGCTGTGGGACGTGCTCATTGAAGACAAAGCTGCTGCTCATTCTTGTGCCAGGCAAATACGCCTTAAATACAGTGTGTAGCCTTCTATTGGACAGCCCTTTGCCAGGGACCTCCTGCTGTTACTGATGAAAATTGCATTGTACTGTAGCAGATGAGTGATATGGAGAGCTCCAGGGGAATGTCTGGGTTGTTGAGGAAACCAGGTTCTGTGGATGTCCAGGTCCTTCAGAAGAGCTGCCATAGAGACAAGCTGTTCTCTTCCCTGGCAGCCGAGTTGCATTCCACAAAGTGCCAGAAGTGTAAGAGCGTGTCTGCTTCCACCTCTGCTAAGGGGGTAGAAAGGCAGGACTTTCCAAGGCAGACTTTGTGAAACAAGTTAGTGTTGTGTTGTACTTTGTTCATGTGGGATTTTATACACTCCAGCATGCACTGGGCCTTAAACCAGACCACAGACTTAGTCTGACCACACCTCTGTCTTCAGAAGTGAATAAAGAAGCTGCAGATAGATGGACATGAAATTCCATTTCTTTTTGGCAGCTTAACCTGGCTTATGCCCTATGATTCCTTGTTTGTAAGATCCTGACAATGATTTGACATATTCAGTGGATGGTAAGGATTGCTAAAGGCCCCACTTTCCTAGAAGTTTCTAAACAGTAGGGTGAGAGAGAAGGGAAGATGCTTCCAGGGCTCTTCTGGCAGAGCTGCTAATATGAATGTACGAGTTACTGGGCATCTGAGAACTCACAGAGGTGTCCTGCAGAGGACTGGTGTTGCCTTTGTAGCTCTTGTTGCCCCTGACTTCAGCTCTGCAAAGGCCCTGGCATGGTGTGCAGCAGCTGGGATGCTAGGAATGTGGTAAGCAGGGAAACTATCCATGCTGCTTAGCATCTACCTGCATGTATGACAACTGTGTGCAGCTACAGCCAAATGCAGGTTCTGAATGCAAGTACAGTGCTAACCTTCCCTTTGGTGTTCAGGTACATCCTCTTTCTGTCCCCAAACTTGTTTGCTCATTTACTCTGTGTTTTCTTCCCTCTTCTGTTTCTCGTTATTCCCTTCAGGACTCTCTTCTTGCCTTTGTCTTTCTGCATCTCTATGTGACAATGGTCTTTTGTGGTCATCTCTCTGGGGAGAATGGGGGTACATCATTGTGGTGTGTTTTTGAATCATCTACTGAGACCTCAGGCATCAGGACTACAGCCCAATGCCCACTGCAGATCATCTGCAAGTCTCTTTCCTCGTGGGGACCCCAGACAATATGCAGGGAAAGTAAGCATTTTTGACAGGGAAATGATTCCAAAGAGACGTTCAGATTCCTGTTGCCAATGCAGAAGGGACAGATTTTCTTTCTAAGAAAGATGGGTTTAGCTTTCTTCCTCCAGCTGCTTGCTATCACAACACAAATTGTGCTCCATGTCTATGTGTTCCAGACAAGCGATCACTGCGATGAACATTTTCATTTTTCAGTATGACAGTGATGTGATTCATCATTTACACCCAGGCTGGCTAACCTGGACTTGAGAAACAGATAATTAAAGAATGTAATTTAACTGAGCTGCTCGAGACATAGATTTTAAAGTAAGAACCTGAAGGTACCCACTTCTCACCATTAGCTGTACAGAAAAGCGCAGTTCACCTAAGATACAAGAATTAGGCAAGATAAATGTGTGAAAGTACTGGACAGACAAGGTAGGGGCTGAGAGAAATGAGCTAATGGCAGGTCTCTCTAGTGATGGGCTGGGGAGGAGGGAGGAAGACACAGCAGGGAGCTGTAGCCAGTATTCAACCAAGAGACAGATGATGGGTCCTCAAGTTCCCTCTAAACATAACTTACATTTCTGTGAAAACAGTTCCAGGATGGATTTTGATCTTGATTTTGTTGCTTGTATAACGTATCTGCCTTTGCATAAGAGTAGTCCTTGGATGAGTTACCTTGGATGAGTTACCAGGATGGATCCAATCTATTCTAATTGTGGCTTTATCCTTGTACAGGCTCTTAGTCTTCAGCCAGGCAGGTTCTCTGCCATGTGGCTACCGGAGTCAACCGTGCCTCATGCTGAGGTCCCCAGTGTGTTACCCACAGTGTCCAGTCCCTCTGAAGGTGTCTCTTCTATCAGCTGTACCAGCAGTGAGTGGCCTGGCTTTTTGAAGTATTTAGAACAAAATCATTGCCATAAGGTGAGTCTTCCAGTAAAAAAAAGGATAATGTATCTTTCTACTCTGTTGTGGTTTTGTCTTTCTTCCACAGGGACAGACCTTACTAGCTATTTTGTGTCACTGCCCATTCTCTCCCCCTGTCCCCATCACTCGAGGCTGACAAGCATAGCCTCTTCCTCTAGCTCAGAAATGTCCATCTTGGATATTTCAGGGAGAGCCCCTTCATCTTTGAGTTCTCAGACTGGCAGAAGCATACATTTCATTAGAAATAAAATGTTAAAGTCCTTTTGAAGTTGATGGCTTTTCCTGTAGCCTTTCAGGTCTGTGCTGAGGTGTCCTTGCCTTGTGCCATTATCTTTTTCTCTCTCTCTTCTTTCTGTCTTCCACAGTTCCCTGCATGGATGAATGCGGGAAAGGTCTTTTCAGAAAAGGTCCATAAAGATCTTTTTGTGTGTTGCTGTTCATTAAATTCCCCTTCCTGGACCTGATACAGTGCTAACAAGATTTATCTCAGGACCCTTGGGCATGTTTAAACCCTCCTTTACCTTGTATCAGTGGTGGCAGCAGTGTGTTGCCTGAGTGTCACCTCTTCCCAACTCGACTGAGATGCACATTTCAGTGGTGAGAGATGTTCTCCAAGTCTCTGGGATTAGCAGGGGAGGTGCTGCAGGTGCTCCACTCTTAGGT